GAAGGTTGTCCACAGGGCACGGGCGCTGCGGATCTTTGGGCTGCAGACAGAGGAGAGGCTGCCGGACCTAAGGGAGGAGCTCCCCGGAGAACGGGAGTCTACCCTGTCTCCTCCAGTAGCAGGTGACTTTCTGTGCTCACTTCGGCAGCACATATACTAAAATTGGAACGATACAGAGAAGATTAGCATGGCCCCTGCGCAGGTGACTTTCTAACATGCTTTCCCCCTCCCTCGAAGGCTCCCTTTCACAGGGAAAAGGGGCTCCGGGTTCCAAGAAGGCGCTGACCCAGAACGGCTAGACCTTGTCTTGGGCCCGCAGCACTACCATGTCAAGCCCTGCACTGGCCTGGGTGTGCCAGGGCCGAACCCCAGCCCTTCCTTCCCCTTTGCTCTCAAGGGCTGGGGCCTGCAGCTCCTCAGCCTGATGTTGATATGGGGTTGACTGTCCTTCAATAGCCCGTCCTAATGGCTGTGGACACCTGGCAGCTCGCTCTAGAGGAAACAGAGGTGTATGTCTCCTTGGAAATGTCATCGCAAGGGCCAGCTGGACTCGGCACGCCCTGGCAGGGTGACGTTGAGCCATGTGCTTTACTCGATAATCCATGGCTGGTAGGTGTTTCCTTCTTGGGTCTTGAAATCCCTCGAGATACGGATAAACGCAACGGACGCTGCTCTAAGGCTGATGCAAAGTCGTATGTACGGCTGGAGCGTGGACATAATTTCCAAGGGCTCACAGAAGCCTGGAGCTCACCGATGGAGCGGGGTAAGAGCCCTGCCCTGGCCCAGGACCTCAGGGCCCATCCGGGTGGTCCCCGCATTGCCGAGGGGCTGCCCATGAGGCCACACACAGGGCGGTGCTGGGAGGGGACAGAAGGGGCTGAAAAGGAAGAGTCAGCGCACTGGGTGGAGAATGTGGGGACGTTGAGGTAAAGCAAGAAGAAGGGGTCAGAGAAGAGCTGAAAGAGAGGTGAATCCTCGGACGGGGCCCAGATGCCACCACTGCCTCAGGTGGTCTTCATCTCCAAACCCTGGTCCTAACCTGCAGACAGAGAACTTCTCTCCCCACAAAAGGAGGAGCGTTCTAGAAGCCTGGAAGCCAATTCCAACATGATCATAAACACCCACAGCGGAAGGCGTGCCCAGCGGTTACCAGGCAGTGAACTGATCTCTGCACCGGGCCAGGGGACGCACCCGGCGACCTTGCGCTTTCGGGGGACACACACTCGCCCAGCTCTTCGGCCCTTTGTGAAGACGAGAATGTGTGCTCGTGAGCTCCTCGCGAAGCCGGGAAGAGAATCCTCAGTAAACTGCAGACTAACGTACAGGTGAACACGGCGCGACGACTGGTAGGCGTCGGACGGAGGTCAGACCCAGAGCCACTTGGATGGTCGGTCACATTTTTATACACTGCAGAATGTATAAAACATGATCCTTAAAACATGATCCGGTGACTTCCGTCATGGTCCTGAAGGAGTGTGGGCGATACCAGCACCGCTCACTCTTTCCACAGGTACGTGTCAGGTATCTGTTAGCACGGGTGCTCTCCAGACCGGAGGTACAAAGGAGCGGGCCCCCCACCATCACAACCACGTGGAAGTTTCTCCTCGGAGTTGCCTCTAGAACCCCTAAACGTAAGTGGAAGAAGAGTCTAATTTTAATTCGCTTTCACCTGCGTTAGCGTCTCCTCTCAACTTCCTCGGTTCTCTGCAGCGTATTAAAAATAAGAGTTTTTAACCCTGGCCGGGGTGCACAGTGGTTAGAGCATCGGCCCTTGGACGAAAGGGTCACGAGTTCGATTCCCAGTCAAGGACATGTACCTGGGTTGCAGGTGTGATCCCAGGCCCCAGTTGGGGTGATGCGGGAGGCAACCAATTGATGTGTCTCTCTCACATTGATGTTTCTCTCTCTCCCCCAACCCCGTCCTTCCCTTGCACGCTCTCTAAATATCAGTGGAAAAAATATTCTCGAGTGAGGATTAATCAAAAAAAGAAAGAAAAAGGAGGAAAAAGTAAACACCGACTTTGCTGTTCCTTGTCCTCGCGATCAGACAGTTGTGTCCCCTGTGCCTGGGGGACCTCCTGTCCTCACCCCACTCAGGTCTGCGCCTCGTCACTCTAACTGGGCCACGCCCTTCCATCCCCACAGGGTGCTGAAGGCACAGCATCCTCTCTGCAGCAGGTGTGAGATACGGAAACATGCTTTGGTAACACTGTAGGGTGAGCATTAAAGGCACAGGTATTGAGGCAGACAGTTTTTTATTAATTCATAAAGCACAGCGAAAATAACACATAATCATTGTGAAGCACCTGACACATCCCAACTTTCCTGAGTGGTATCGTTGTGTACGTTTCTTACTTCCCTGCTACAATGTTGCCAGATGACAAAGACCTTCTGGTGTGGGTGGTACCCTCTCCAACACTTTGCCTGGAGAACTTGGTTAGAGTTTCCCTTGGTTCCTTGCTCACAAATGGATTTCTTACTGGGTCTGCATTAACTTGTTTTCATGCTTTGGGATGTGAGAACTTCATCGCTATGTGAAATAAGCTAATTCACACCCACCGTGACTGAGGTGTGACTGAGGATATAGTTTTGTACTCAACTTTTTATTAGTGTTGATTAAAAAAAACACAGTTGACAAGTCAGGGTATGAATGTGAATAAAACAGTTGCTATGAAGTGCTATGACATCATAGTTGTAATTAATACCCCTGTCGCCTACCCTCACGCCAATAGGCTCCAAGTCGTTTGTTAAGAACTGTTTCAAAATCCTTTCATACTCCCTTTACCTCGCCCAACCTGTTTTTCATGATGATTGGAAGGGGGTTGGACTAATGAAAAGAATAACATTTTATTTGAAGATTTCAAAGCACCCGGTGTGTCTGCCTTCCATTTTGTGGATCGGGCTCCTCACACTCGCTGGTTCCCCCCTTCGGTTTGGTTGTCCTGCTCCCCAGGAAGAGCGCCGGCTACACGGCAGATACATTGTATCCCAGAATATTCTGTGGTTCCTCAACAGTTCATCTTGTGGCTATTGTCACCGGGCAGCCAGTCAGATTTCCCCTGTCACCTCGTCTGATGGAAAGATGGGGGGCATATTCGTGGTCTACCTGGTGCTGGACTTTAGCTATGGATTTATTCTTTTTTTTTTTTCTGATCCTATTTAATTTCTTTTTCATTCCTACCCATGTTCAATCTGAGACATGTTGTTTGCATAGGTATCATTTTAAATACCATTTCACACGAGGTGGGCATTACGTAAATAACTCATTTTTACACTATTCCCATGTTTCCCTGAGATCAAGGCAGGCTGTGCAGCTGAAACCGGGCTATCCGAGACAGCCGCACTCGGGTTTGAACTCCAGCTTCGACCCGTTGGGCCACTTCTCCAACCCGAGTCCCCGCTCCCTAAAATGGAAATAATAATCCATAACTCACAGAGACGCCCTGCGGATTAAATAAAATAACTTGTGTAAATTACTTGGTGCATAGTAGGCATTCAATAAATGTCAGTTCCCTTCTTATCCCAGTTAGTAATGCTTATTAGACTATATTAAAAACGAGAGCCAGACTGTGATAATGCATTTCTTTATTACGTATTTAAGCCAAATAACTAATTTCCCCCAGGGGAAGGGAGAGATATGTTGAATTAGTTTCATTTTGTGAACTTATTTATTAGTCTTTTTTTCCTTCTTCTTCAGCATTCTTTAGTTTCATACTCCATAATTTAGTTTTTATGCAACAAAAGTGTCACGGTTTCCTATTCCTTAACTCTAGGGCGATTAAAAAAGTCTATTATTACACTTGCTGCTGATTAGGGGTCATTATTAATGATACTAACAGTTCGACTGTGTTTCCTTAGGAGCCGGCGCTGCAAACTTTCGCTCTCAACAGCTCCCCGAGGTTGGAGGATGTAAGAGAATCGAGTTTTACATGCAACGTTGCAGCCAAGGGAGCCCAGGGGCGAGGGGCCGCACACCGTCTGGGCTCTACCGTGTTAATTTTACACGCTGGGATTTAAGTGGAGCCCCGTTTTCCAAGGACAGGACCTCGGAGAGGCAGGCGCAGGGGAGCGGACCAGGAGCTGGGCCGGGGCACCACGGCACCTTTAAGGGCCGGGGACTGGGTCTCGGCTCGGCCTCCTTCCCGGCCCACCTCTGAACCCTGATTGACAGGGCGCCGCGGAGGAGGAGCCCAAGGAGGCCCCGGAGGAGGCGCAGGCAGGAAAGCAGGGGAGGAGGGGCCGTCTTCCCTCCGGTGGCCAATCACAGAGGGGGGCGTGGCCCGCCTTCTCTCGGAGGGCCAATCAGCACCGGGGGCGGGGCGCGCGGCGTCTCCTCCTCCCCGCGGCCCCCGCCTCCCCCCGCGGCCTCCCCTCCCCTCCCCCTCCGCCCCCTCCCCCCTCGCAGGCTGTGGTTTTCTGTGTGTGTTTCTGGAGTCCGGAGCCCGAGCTAAACAAAAGCAGGAGCTGGCGGGGCTGCCGGAGTTTGCGGAGCCGGAGGAGGAGCGAGCCGGCGCGGTGCCCGCCGCGGCGGGGGGCTGGGGCGCTGCGGGCCCACCCCTCGGCGCTCGCTCGGCCGGCGCGGGTGGGGGCCGCGGGCGGGGGAAAGTTTGCCTCGCGAGCCCCGGCGCGGCGCCGCTTTCTCCGGATCCGAGGCTGTTCGCACGGGGATCGAGCCGCCGAGCCGCGCGCCGGAGCCCGGTCCTGCCTCGCGGGGAGCCGGGCGCACCCCCAGCCCGCGCCGCTCCCTCCGTCCGGCGGGAAGGTGGTCTGTGCTCCCCGCTTTGGGGGAGTCGACACCCTCCCCGCAGCCCTCCCCCCGCGCCCCGCAACCCCCCCGCGCCCCCGCCCCCTCGCCGCCCCCTCCCCCGCCGCCCTGCGAGGAGCGGCAGAGGGGTTCCTGCGGGCTCTCCCTGCCCTGCTCGCCCCGCGCGGGAGCCGGAGCCGCCGGCCGCATCGGAGCCCGGGGCTGCCCGGGGCCGCGCGCAGGAGCCGGGGCCGCGCCGGGCTGCGCTGCTCCGCGATGGACGAGCAGCCCAGGCTGATGCACGCCCACGCGGGGGTCGGCATGGCCGGGCACCCCGGCCTGTCCCAGCACTTGCCGGACGGGGCCGCGGGCCCCGAGGGGGAGGGCGGCAGGAAGCAGGACATCGGAGACATCCTGCAGCAGATCATGACCATCACGGACCAGAGTTTGGACGAGGCGCAGGCCAGGTGAGAGGCCGCCTTTTCTCCCCCTTTCCTGCGTGTTTCTGTTTTTCTCCCTCTCGCCGGGGGAGACAATGGGGCGCGGAGCCGCACGGCGCTTTCTTTCGAAATGTTTCTTTCCCCGTTGGGGCGAGCAACTCCATGGCGGAGGACGGCGGGGAAGGAGCCGCGGCGGCGGGGTCCCCCGCCGCCGGGGGCCTGTGCCGAGGGTGCGTGTGCGTGTGAGTGTGAGCACAGGCAGGCACCCACGTCCGCACGCCCGCGGGCACGCGGGGAGGCTGCCCACGGCCCCGGAGGCGGCCCGGCACTTTTTACTGCTTCACAAAAGTATCTCCGAGCGAGAAGAATTGTCCGGTTTTCGGCACGAGGAACCCCGTGACATGACGAAATAACATGTCCCAGGAATACTTGATCTGCAGCTGTAGTTGACTTCTTACCTAAATCAGGGACTTTGGATTTTTTTTTTTTGTATTCCCCCCTGGATGCACTCCTTCAAAATTATCATTTTTATTCTCCTTTCTCCCCCCTTAAAAAAAAAAAAAGGGTAATTCTTTGTCACTAGTTGTCAACTCTCCAGGAAATACTTTGTATTCATTTAATTCTTAAAAAAAAAAAGGCTTTTGGAAAGATAGAAGTAATTTTGCTTCCAGACCTATTTGTTGGTGTTAAGAGCCTGGGGTATGTAGTTCAACTTTCTCTCTCGATTTGAGTCGGTTTACAGACCTACCATGGCACAGACTGTTTAGGTCCTTTAAAAGGGGTGGGGGACAAAACCCAAGTGTGCTGTTGTCCTCTTGCCTCTTTGAGGACCACTTAGATGAAGGCACATGTGAATTTTATATATTCCAGTGCTAGAGGGCTTGACGATCTTTATTAATAAAACATAATAAATAAGCCGTGGAGCTTCTCAACTTAATCCACTGCCAGGGATATAGTTCTTCACTCCACGATTTACAGTAAATTCCTCTTCAGAATAAAACACAGACTCTGTGGCAACCCACTAACAGCTTGCCCAAGGCCCATTTCGAAAGGAAGAATTTAAAAAATCTAACAACCACATATGTGTTTATAGTTACTCCGCTTTGTTGAATCTCAGTAGTTTAAATAAACACACACACACCAACAACATATAGATACACTTTCTATACCTCGGATGACTCAGTCATACGGAAAAGACATCATGACATGTATTTTTGTCTGAGGGAGAGAGGGATTCGAGCTGAGAAGTGGGGAGAGCAGTTAGAAACCAGGCTGTGATGGGCCCCCTCCTAGCTGCTCCCACATGCAACACGTAAACTCCGGAGTGCTGAGGTTTACAGGGGGCTGAAACTTGGAGATGTTCAAAGGCCGGAACTGTTCTACATTTTTTTTTAAATAGGGGAAAGTTTTCCAAAATTAATCAGGTGTTGTTTTAGAATTTTATTTTCTGAAGGAAAACTAATAGGTGCGAAAAGTGGGAGGTTTCCCACGGGCACGCTCTTGTTGAACTAGAACAGAGCTCTCTATTGCATTGTTCCCGGAAAATAAACTCAGACAGACCACTCAGCTGCTTTAATTAACAAGTTTGTGAAGTGGAAGGGCCAGGGAGACGGCCGGTCACCACTTTCTGAGGTTTAGTCCCACTCCGTTTTGTAAAACTGAGGACAGCCATGGCTTGGCCGGTTCCCTCTTTTAATGGCCTAGATGCCGAGAGATCAGACAGAATTTGGGGTCAGGGAAATCTGTTCTCTCTCCAACCCCACTGATGTGCTGTGGAAAATATTTCTGTGAAGCCGTGTGGGCTTTCTTTTGTTTTTTCTTTCTTTGCATTTGGGCCTGGATATCTATGAATACAATTAATGAAAACTATTTTTAAAAGCCTCCCTAAGAGATCTTTGATACAGTAACGTCTTTTCCACCCTTTTTTCACCCCTGAGGACTATATCACCATTAGGCTTTCTCTCTGGTTTAACAATGTAACTCTACTCGGCAGATACTGGATCTGGTTTTCCTTTCTGTAGTTGCACCTTCGTAAGATACATTTGTTATCTACAAAGTAAACCATTAGTATTTTAGATACAATGTATGTGTTTGTTTTGATACTCTCGGGCCTATTTCTCCTCTGCTGTGGAGTAATAGACATGCTTCTGGTTTCTGTTCTTAAGGACTGGTGTGTGTGTGTGTTTCTTTCTTTCTTTTTCTTTTTTAAACTTTCAAAGGGATTAAAAAAGAATTGCATGCATTTTGAGTGCCAGGGGCTTCCATTTATCTTTACACATTAATTTTTGCTAGTACACAGAATTCCCTTAACTAATAGCTGATACAATCAGTATTTTGTTTCCAAAACAATATCCTTCTGTTAAGTGCTTTATAGTAAAATGAAGGGAAAGGTATTGTTTTGTTCCTCAAGTGCATTCTGAATGCAGACACGCACAAGAACCAGGTAAATCACTAATCTAAGAGGCAGAATTGTATTTATTTTTCCCCCAATGGGTGCAAGGTCCTAATTGTAAATAATTGAATTTCAACACCTGCAAATAAGCGCTGTGTGCACAAGAGGCATAATGTGAACACAGAGAAATGAATTTACTCCCCATATGGGTCTGTTTGCCCCCTGGCAATGCATTTCCATACTCTTTAACTCGGGGACTGAAATTTTATAAATTGACAGTTCTGCTCAGAAGACCTTTCAAGCATCTTGTGTCTATGAGAATATGGGGGAATCTGTGGAATGAATTCGAGCGCATGGATGAATTAAATTTGAAAACACACACACAGACCGAGAGGCAGACAGTCCCAGCCTGTGGTGGCGACATAGATTTTTTAAAACTGTTAACCCCATGCGCTGGGCTTTTTGTATTCATTGCCCTGGATAGCATTGTTGGTTTAAGAATTCCACTTTGATTAAACTACTTACACACACACACACACACACACACACACACACACCACTCTGCCTAAATGGGCATAATTTAGGTTAGTTCTGTTCTTTAGTTAAATCCCTGCTCTCCCTGCTAATTAACATTATTTATTTTTCTGTGGTGGGGCTCTATACATTAAGTCATAAACCATTGGAGCATGCCACAGAGTTATGCTTGGATATAATTTAGGCTAAATGCTCAGTCCCCCACCCCCTTCGTTGTCAGCAGTTTGATCCTGAAAGTGCACCTGAGCTGTGCTGTTTTGTGTTTGCAGAAAACATGCCTTGAACTGCCACCGCATGAAGCCGGCCCTGTTCAACGTGCTGTGTGAGATCAAGGAGAAAACAGGTAGGACCGAGATGTGGACCTTGGAGCATTTTCTTTGGCCGCCGGACCCCCTCGCGGCCACCAGGAACCCATTATGTAAATGCTAAGTGCTCTCAGGGCCGCCGTGCTCCCAGAGGGCATCCTGCTTGCTGCGAAGGGAGCTCCCAGTTTCCTGGGCAGCTGTGCTGAGCCCTGTTGGTTTCTTCTCCTAAACTCCTCTCCGGCCTCTGAACCGGGGCCGCCGCCGCCGCCGCCGCCGCGGTCCTGAAGGAAGTTTATAGAAACGTGTCTTTCGGGGGAAAAATATGAAAGTAAAAGTCCATTTCCTGGAGGAATATATTTTGGCCCATATTTAAAACACTCTCCTCGGGGGAGTTGTTTCCAGCTCCCTTCCTTTCCTCTGGAGGGTCCCACCCGCGCTTTCAGGCCCCGCGTGGGCGCCCCTCGACGCCAGGTCATCCTGCGTGAGCGCCCTGCGGTCCCAGAGCCGGGATGGCTGGGCTTGGAGAATATAGAGCCCCAGATCATGCTCCCTGTGTGTCTCCACTGGACCTCAGAGCATGGACACTCAGAACGCCTCCCAGGAGGACGTTTACATTTTAAAGCCACAATTAAAAAATTGCCATCATCCATCGGAGGTGTTCTTAAGGGGCAGCTGCTCTGGAAGGGACATTCCAAAACATCCTCTCATTTGTTTATTTTCATCCTTAATTCCCGAAAGTGGGTGGTTCTGCCGAGGGTGGTTGCGGAAGGTGAGCGGCTGCCGGCCTCGGGCTCGGCGGCTGGCTGACGGGCGGCGAGAAGTACCTGACAGCCTCGTTATTTATTTATTTTTTACAACAAGGAATGTAACAGTCAATAATTCATATCTAAACCATATAAGCAAGGGCATGACATGGATGAAAGTGACAATAAATATGATTGCATGCCCGGTTGATATACATTGATAGTTACACATAAAAAGGGGGGAGGGGCAGGGCACAGGGTGGCTTTTCTGGTTGAGAGCTCTCTGTGTTTCTCTTTTAAAAAATAAATAGTTTCAAGATGTGACCGTTTGATGGACTGTGCGAGTACTTGGGGCTTGAATTGTATGAAGAATTAGCGGCTCCTCTGTTGGGTGGTGTTCGCGCAGCACAGTGTGTTGGCGAAAGCGCCGAGCGGTGTTGCTCGGGCCGCCGGCCGCCGGCCTGACCTCACTGCAAAGCTGTTAATTGCCTCTTTTAGCTGTGAGACACCTTTTAAGAGATTTATGGGCTGTGCATGCGGATATCAAAGAGCTGCTCCAGTTTGTCATACTTTTTAGTTTTTCTTTCTCTGTCAGCCTAGAGCAGGAGACCTAAGTGCATATGTACATTTTTCTTGTCTTTTTATTCTTCTTCTCATCTTCCTTCTCTGTCTGTCTTGGTGTTTGTTTACTGTGAATATTTGATTTGGTGACGTTGGTTTCTAATCCAGAAGGCGTCCTGCTGATCTTGATTCATAAAATGTAGAATCAAGATATGAAGACAGATTCAGTAATCCAGGCTAAAGAGCCTATTTTTGAGAACACGTTATCAGATTTTTATTGAAAGGAAGCCCATCAGGGCACTTAACTGTGTTCTTGCCAAAGTGTTTAATTCCAGTCTCCTAATTAAAACCTACTGAGGTGGGGGTCGCGGGGGGTGGGTCTGGACAGAGTGCGGTTCTGGTGTGGGCCGGAGGGCTCGTCCCTGTCACGTTGCTGACCCGTGCGGGGACGGAGCAGCCGCATCGGTCAGAGAAGGCTCCAAAGCTGCACTTGATTGTTGGGACATGTATTTTGGTTTTTTAATTTTCTGTCATTTACTGACATTCATATTTGGAGATTTTTAAAAATCTAAATCCAGGGTTCGTGTGTTGCCTCCAGAATAATATATTTTAAAAAGTACGTTGTCAAGTGCTATAGGTTGAAAACGAGAAGGGTCACTACCCCTGCATTAAGGGGGAAATGCGTGCGCGCGCACACACACGTGAACATGCACACGCGTGTACACACATGCACAGACGTGAACATGCATACATGTGTGTACACACACACAGAGTTTTGGAATGAGAAGGTATCTGTGGGTGAAAGTTCAAGAAAAGAAAAAAAGGCCTATTTTCCTCCGTCTCCGGCACGTGTACTGGGGCGAGTGGGGGAGGGAGAAGCTGTCTGGAAAGCTGGGTTCCATGTCCGGGGGGGTCAGTGTGCTGAGTTGATCTCAGGCATGTTACCCCTCGCCCTGACCCCTGGTCTCCCTGCCTGCCTGTCCCCACACGCCCCGGGTCCCCGGCACAGTGTCAAGTTGCAGGAGTCTTTCTCTGGGTCCAGAGCTGGCGCGAAGGCCCCTGCGCCCCCCCTGCACCTGAGGACGGGGCTCTGCACCTCCCGGCGCTGGGTCCAGGGTGGGCTTCGTCTGTATGCTCCCTCGAGGGTCACGAGGTCCGTGATCTGGCTCACCTGGGCAGGTGGAGCCTGGGCATTGCATTCCTTAGCTGCTTTTGCTTTTGTTAATGATTTTAGTTGGAAAACTCGGAATAAAGTAGCAACACTAGTAAAGTGGTCTTTCCAGCCTCCGGAAGTGTGAGGAAGGCTGGCCCTCAGCGGCCGCAGCAGGCAGGGCGGCTGCGTTCCGGCTGGCGGGTGCATCCTGAAGTCAGAGACAACTGTGCGGGTATTAAAAAAATATATACCAAAAAAACAAACAAACAAAAAAAACAAAACAAAACAACCCGTGTGTTTTTTGCTTCAGAGTGTAAGTTTTTATTTTGATACCTTTTGCTTTTTAAATAAACGCTAAGAAGAAAGAATGCCTTCAAAGTGCTGGGCTGGCGGATCTCAGACCACAGCAGGAAGGACCCAGCTCGATCCCCAGCAATGTGGCTTTTCAGAAGTGGCTTTTGTTCGGCTCCTGGGACGGGGTTCTGGAGGGTGTGGGACCGTGTGCCACCGCACGGCTTTGTGCCTGGGGCCTCTCCTTGCCTGGCGCCTCGACAGCAGGCTGGTTTCACCTGTGCGCACGGTGCTGGGGTCCAGGTGGCGGAAGAGGAGAAAGTCAAAAGCGTCGCATCTCGTCAAAAGACCCTGATTATTTTTTTGAACACTTCTGGATTTTTCTTTTTTTCACTTGTGTGAAAAATCACACCGGTTTGGGTGTTAGGACGACAAGGAGAACCGCGTGCCGTTGACTGGGGACGGGAGCGGCGGCGGGAGGAGCCGGGAGCCGTTTCCGTCGGAGAGCATGGTGTCTACAGGGCGCTCCGCTCGGCGCCCGGTGGACTGGAGTCACGGAAGGAGATCAGAATGTTGTTTGCTTCCTTCGCCCCCTTTTGTTCTCGGTTCTTTTTCTCCGTGTGCGTTCGCACCCCGTCAGAGGAGTGTGAGTCTGCTCCCGCGCTCCCGACACCTCCCCTTCCAGCCTCGTGGCCGCTCGGCAGCTGCTCACGGGCGTCCAGCCCTCCGCACGGCCCGGGGGTCACTTGCGTGTGCTCGCGTGTGCGTGCTGTGCAGGTCGGGCGGGGGGAGGAGGCTGTGGTCGGAGGCTGTGAGCCCAGATCAGGGAGAAACTTGAGCCGGTCAGAGGCCTCGTGGGGCCGAAGTGGCCTGAGCGACTTTGGCGGAAGTTGGTCGGGAGCAGGTTCCAGTGTGTGTGCGCGTGTCCCCGGGGCCTGGGACTCGCATTCTGCTTCCCTGGACGCGATGTTGGGGGACCAGCCGTGTCAGGCAGGGGGGCGAGATCAGACCATACACCATTAACTGTAACCTGGACACAACCACGAGCTATGAGAAGCCTCCCTTCCCTCCGGTCACTTTCGTACTGTTGGTTCGGGCAGATGCTGGCGTCCGGGAGGCGGAGAGAGGGTGCCCGGAGCGCTCGGCCAGGCCCACCAGGACGGGACGGGGTTGTGTCTGTGCGGACTGAAGGAGATGGAGGACACTGGAGGATTGGGGGAGGGGGGCTTGTGACCTGGGAAGCATGGGGGTTGGGCTGGGAGGAGTGGGGGGCTCCCTGCAGGGGGCTGCTGGGGGAAGGGGGGGCCCTGCCGAGAGGGGCGCCCAGGGGGCACTGTGCTGTGTGCCTGTGCACACTGTTACCCCAGCCTCTGCTCACACACTCGAACTTCTGTTTGTTGTTGGCAAATGACAAAAAAGCAAAGGAACAAGCAAAGGAACTCAAACTTAGGTGTCGGACGTATTTAAGTGGAAGGCACTTTCATTTTAGTGGAAAGCACAACCCTGGCTGCTTCTGAGCTACAGGTGACCACGTAGGCTCTGGGGGGACTGCTGTAGCCGGGGGGGGGGGGGCTAGGTCCCCTCCTACAGGGGTGCTGGTAGCTTTCAACGCAGGGAAATGAATCTAAATATAGCTTTGTCCCTTTTCCTTTTTATAACATTGTTTTGCCCACAACGCCCCTGATAGAGACTGTGTCCCCGGTGAGCTCCCAGAGACAGTTGTAACTCATTTCCGTGGGACCCTGCAGCACCCCAAATGCAGTGAGCCAGGGCTCCGGGGGTGACGTCGTTCTGGCCCACCAGGATGTGAGGTGTCGGGCAGGCACAGACTGATAAATAAGTGGCAGATTAACGAGTTGTTTGAAAGTGCTCTGCAGTCTGTGCTGAGTAAATAAAAGATGCTGTCGGTTCCGGAATAGATTATCTCGGGACTCCGACCTGAGTCCACTGGGGTGGCTCTGAATCCAGGGCACACCTGTGGGCCCAGCACGGAGTCCCGGTGGCCTGTGGGTGTGGGGGGAGACCCCCTGGAACCTCCACCCTGGCTGCTGCCTGGGTGTCCCTTCTCAGAACTCGACAGAGTGACAGCCAGAAAAACAAGCCCAGCTATAGACTGTCATAAGCTTATGAGACCTGTCTCCGTTTATGGCCGAATAAGGTCGTGCGTGACGTCCCAGGGGAGCCCGGAGAACCCCACGTCAGTCTCTCAGTTACCCGTGGAGCTCAAGATGGCAGCGGGTGGAAAACCCACCCTTCTTGGCGTGGGTCACAGTTTCAACTCCCGTATCCC